ATTAATTCAAGTTACTTCACTAGAGGATTACTGTTCTGAATTGGCTTGTAACAAATGTAGACGTTTTCTTTACTCTTTGGTCTAACCTCTGTGATGTGGAATTTAGGCTCCTTGGTGGTCAACTACCCCTACGATGATGACAAAAAGGGGACATCTGAGTACAGCCCGTCGCCTGATGACAAAGTCTTTCAGCAGATTTCTAGAGCGTACTCACAGGTAACCGGACACTGTTGGATCCGTTTCAGTTTGGGATAATGTCTGCTTGTTGTAGTGGAAAACAAAGGGTAGAGGCAGAACAGATAAAGCCATTGACTTTTTGAAAAATCTTTGGAGAGATAAGGTTTATAACTTGACCACAACAGGACTCATTGATGTGTTTTCACTTGCAGGAGAATCCTTTAATGCACAATGGACACCCTTGTGTGACACTGTACCCTTCTGAATATTTTGAGGATGGCATCACCAACGGCGCACACTGGTATAATGTTCCTGGTAAGCCTACACCTTTTGTCCTCCTTTGTTACTCGCCACATTCATTTTTCTGCTACACAGGAGATTAGCCAAATCACCCTTATGCCTCAAACCTCTTTGGACAAATCAATTTCTCCTTTTATAGCCTCAAAACAGAGGATTGATGGTTGTGTTTTATTTACACATCTGCAAAAGGTGCAGATATTATAGTTGTAGAGCTCATTATTATCACTTATTATATTAAAAGTATTAAAAGGCCCTGTGTGCAGTAGATCAGAACATTTAAAAACCGCCACTTTGTGTTGAACTTGTTTTTCTGCTTTGTGTAACACGTTGGCTTTCTTCTCCAGGGGGCATGCAGGACTGGAACTACTTAAACACCAACTGTTTCGAGGTGACCATCGAGCTGGGCTGTGTAAAGTACCCCATGGCCAGGGAGCTGCCAAAACACTGGGAACAAAACAGACGGTCCTTGCTTGAGTTCATACACCAGGTTAACACATTTCAATATTGCCCAGAGCTTTCTCCCTCTTTCACTCAGCTTTGCATCCACTCATATTTAGGTGGTCATCTGTCTCTGTAGGTTCACGTTGGAGTAAAAGGAACCGTCTCAGACCTTACGGACGGCACAGGAATTCCCAATGCCACCATTGATGTGGAGGGGATAGACCACAACATCACATCAGCTCGCACTGGAGATTTCTGGAGACTGCTGTCCCCGGGGACTTACTCCATCACCGCCTCTGCTGATGGGTAAGATTTGGATTTCACAATAAAAAACAAACTAATAATTGACCATGAAGTTTCTAGATGTTTCTGTGCTTTTATTTACCAGTGCTTTTGTCTTTCTTTGTTGTCCAGTTATAAATCTGTGAGGACCTATGCCACAGTCTCTAAAGGTGGAGCAGAGGTGGTGGACTTCAGACTGACACGTATACACTCAGACTCCAAAGGCCAATCTCCCAAAGGACCCCAAACCACACAGACCCCATCGGAGAAGAAATTCCAGAGCTTAATCAAGGAGCTGTCCCTCGGCCAGGGTTTGGAGGAGTTGGTCAGGAGCACGGCCACAGATAACAGCTTCCGCTACAGAGGCTACAAGGATCTGTCTGGCTTTCTAAGAGGACTCACACTTAACTTTCCCAAAATTACATCCTTACAGAGGTAATGGAACTAGCTAGTGAACATGACTGTTTGATATCATACCTCTATACTTCTCATTCCCTGCATACCAAAAGGCAATGCTGTCCTGATTATCTCTTTGGTTACTTTTCTTAAGGCAAGACACTGCAGACAAAAATGATGGTTGTTTTTCATGCACTAATCAATTTCTGGAGGTTGGGCTTTTTTCCTCGTATTTAGACCATTGGAAATATAACACACATCATAAACATTTAGATGTTTCTTTTTTACCACTTTGTCTTTTTGCATCTGTAGATTTCTCCTAAATTCACCAAAAGTAAACTAGATATTGCGTCATATATACATTTCATTATTTGGGGAAAAAACAACACTTGCAATACAAAAAACAACTGTCTTAATCTAAGTAATCCGCTGGGGAAGCTTTTGTGATATGTATTAGTTAAAATCTTTACGTGTACGGTCTTAAAATACTCATGTGTATTCTGGTTTATTTCTTCTATTTCCAGTTTGGGCCAAAGTGTAGAGTTTCGAACCATTTGGGCTCTGGAGATCTCCAACAAACCAGGGCAAACGGAACCGTCTGAGCCTAAGATCCGCTTTGAAGCAGGGATCCACGGTAATGCCGCAGTGGGCCCAGAGCTGCTGCTGGAATTTGCTGCCTTCCTGTGCATCAACTATGGCAAGAACCCAGCCATCAGCAGGGTGAGTAATGGGGTCATTCAGGAAAACACAATGTTTTGATTACCTGGACTGTATCAACTGTGTACAACACTAACTTCATAGGAGTACACACATTTGTTTTCATTCTCTGAGGAATCCACACTCTTTTCATATCTGGGATTGGCTTCAGTTTGTTCTGTAACCAGTTCCAGTAATGCAGCATATGATTCATCATTGACTGCAACAGTTTGTTCTCTGTTTCCCTTCCCTAGCTGATCAATGAGACCCGGATTGTCATCGTGCCTTCTATCAACCCAGATGGACGAGAGCAGGCCACTGAGAAGCTGTGCACCTCCACCCAGGGCTTAACCAATGCTCACGGCAAGGATCTGGACACAGATTTCTTCGGTCAGTTGTCTGAATTTGTGTGTGTGCAATCAGATTTAAGAAATAAAAGATATTTAATCATCTTGTTCAAACTCCAACTCTCAAAGATGTGTTGTGAATGTCACAAATACATCATTGTTGAATGCACTCGCCTCTAAAAGATTAGCATCTAACATTTCCTGTTCCTCTTTTTCTTTCAGGCAATGCGTCACAGCGTGTGGTCGAGGCCCAACCAGAGAGCAGAGCCATGATGGACATGATTCTCGATAAGAGCTACACTCTGTCCGTAGCCCTCGATGGAGGGTCTCTTGTTGCAACATACCCGTACGACAAGCCCGTCCAGTCGGGTAAAACCATGATGCAAAACACTGCTTGTAAAAAAAATGCTTTGTACTTTTAAAGGCATGATATATTATCTAAAGTATATTTACTCATGGAGGTTTTAAAATCAATTGTTGAAATGAATCCACTTTTAAGATTGCACACATTTGAGATTGCCCCTGGGGCTGTACCAAAGGAATGTGATTTGTGTTGCTTAGTTTTTACTCTCATCCTGCCTGCACATGACTTTGACAAGCCTTTCATTTGTAGTTATTAGCAATTAGAAAAGGGATGATTTGGCTTTGTGGTTTTATGTACTCTTTCTTGTTTTTGACAGTTGAAAATGAGGGCACTTTGAAGTACTTGGCAAGTGTCTATGCCAATAACCACCCTAAGATGCACCTGGGGGATACTGGATGTTCAAACAACGGGCAAAGTATGTTCAAGTACTATGAGTAATTCATGTTGACGTGAATCATAAATAAATAAACGTATGAAACTTGTTTCTGTCAGTGGGCAACATCCCAGATGGAGTGATGAGGGCGGCAGAGAGACAAAGTCACATGGGGAGCATGAAGGTGAGTCTCTCCACCCCAGTTTCTGTAATAGCATTTTGTTAGTACTTTCTTTAGAGCTTACATTTGGGGAATTTTTACAAAATGTTTATGTATTGACAGCTTTTTGAACAGTTAATATTTTACATTATATTACTTTGGAGATATGTCAAATAACAGAAAAGTTAAAGCAAATCCTGAAATAGGATTCTACCACAGTACTGTCTAAAGTATTATTGTGTGTATTTGTGTCCTCCCAGGACTTCAGCATGGACTTTGGCCACTGTCCAGAGATCACGGTGTATAGTGGCTGCTGTTTGTTCCCTCCTGCTGAGCAGCTGGCCACACTCTGGGCGGAGAACAAGAAGCCTCTCCTTAGCATGTTGGTGGAGGTATGACGCAAGATTTTATCAGCAAAACACAGAAGTGTAATGGACTTGTTTACCATTGTTTTTGTAGATCTTTAACAAAAGTACAACTTCTACGCCTTTGTTCACTTTTTGATACGGATTTTAGGTTACATATATATTCTGAAAGTTATGCAGCAGTATGTAAACTTGCAATGTATTTAGTGCTCCAGCTTTAAACAAGTATTAAGACATACTAATATAAATCAAGGATTTAAGATTATTATTTCCTTCATCATCATACAGCCTTAATTTGCCCTCCATTTGTTCCCCACCCAGGTCCATAAAGGGGTGCGTGGCGTTGCGAGGGACAAGAGTGGAAAGCCTATTGTTGGGGCGATCATTGTGCTGAATGGTGGAGTGAGGGTCTTTACTACAGAGGGGGGCTACTTTCACGCTCTGCTGGCTCCTGGCAACCACAACATCGAAGCCGTTGCTGATGGCTACCAACAACAACGTCAAGAGGTACGCTGTTCTATAAATATCCTGCATTACGCCTTCTAGGAATGTACTAGCTTTTAAGGCAAATGACTAGATTGGAATAACGCCTGACAACAGGTTAACTCCAATTCAAAGTGCCTAACCGGGTGGCCACTAGATGGAGCCAAATGAATGGCTTGGATACCACTTTTATTTCTTCCACTCAATTTATTTAACAAATATTGCATTGGTTGACTAAGGACTTTTAATGTAGTTTAGTTTGACTCATTCTCGTCTACTTTCTTAGTTTGTACACTTTTCCCTAGATCTACTGCACATGGTAGAGTGCTGATATTAAGACGTATAACCTGAACCAGAACCCTTCAGATGCCTTTTAGTAACTTTAGTTCTCTAAAGGTTACAGCTTCTAATGAATATGTTCCATTATGATCACTTTTTAAGCTTACAAAAACATGATCTTGGCCTTTGGATTAGTTTACATTATTAAACATTAACAGTTTTTAGATCAGGGGATGAAATGCTCATAAAGAAATGTGATTATAATGTCTTGTTTTGAGAACCCTCGACTTACTTTAGGCAGATAAAGCCCCCCCCCCACCCCAAACAAAATACAGCATTCACAGATTTTGGTTTATTTGGTCTTGCATTGTGTGTTTTTTGAAACCGCTTTAAAGAGGAGCTTTATTGTAAATGTCAAACAATTGACATTTTTTCAACACACATTTTAGATATCAATCCATCTGCCACAACTTTTCAAGGAAAACAAAATCTTAATATATAAAGTATCAAGTGACATAAAAAGAAAAACAATGGCTCATAACAGAAAAGAACATGTCTGATAATCATACAAAACTCAGCAGGAGGATATCACTGAGGTTCCCCATTACTTTCAATATCTATGAAAGGTGTCGGGCGGAGCACACAAAACCTCTCCATCACCTCCAGCTTTCCATTTTGCTGCTCTGAGATTTGAAGTGTGGGGTAGGCCAGCTCTTGGAACAGACGGTCCTTTATGTCACGGCCCCGCTCCAGACTGTAGGCTGCGAGCTTCCCGCAGGGCCTGAAGAGCAGAGGGTCCACCACGGAGCGATACGTCTGCTGGAACTCTGGCACTGTGAAGCCGTGGATCATCAGAGGGCCCGGCTGGGGGTTTGACACGCTGACGGAGGTCCTCTCTTCTCCAGCGAGGCCTCTGTCGCTGTGGGGCAGATTTAGATCAGGAAGAACGGCAGCGTTTCTTATATATCTGTCATCCAGGGGTTTCTGGGGGTCTGCTTCACTCTGCTCACACAGACAGTACAAATCGGTAGCTGGGGCCACCATGTATTTCCTCTCTTTAGTCGTCTCCCCATATTTCTGAGGACATCGAATACTCCTCCTTAGGCCATAGGGACGCATTTCATTCCTCTGAAAGAAGTGATATAAGTTTGAGTGATTCAGGAGCTCTGTGGGCTTTTCTGTGTGATACCGTCTGAATACTAGCAAACAAACCATATTGGTAAAGGAACAAAAGGATAAAGAGAAGCACTTACTTTTTGACAACAACTCATTGGGAGTTCGTTCAGGCATTACTGACTCAGGTCTGAAGCCCCACTGTTTGAAATCCGTCTTTCTTGAGCTTTGAGCCTAGATCTCCCATTTCTTTTAGATTTAATTATATATGACACTGAATAAATGAGTGACACTTTACCCTCACTGTGGAGAAAAGTCAGAAAGTGAATTCTGAAATTGACCTCTCAGAAGGAAGGTTTGATTTAGGATATTTATGAGCCAGCACACTGAACCCATTTTAGAATTACCAGACAACCTGCACCAGATTAAACTGAGCGGTCACACCTGCAAACGAGGCGTGCTAATTGGCTAATCAACCTCCCCACTCTGTAGGGAGCTGTAGCTGTTTGGAAAAACAGCCAGATGGATGAGATGATGTGGTAGATGTTGCATTTGTAATCTTGTGAAAAGTTTGTTAATGTAAAGCAGTTTATATTCAGAAGCTACCACAGCCAAAGTAAAAACAGCTGTGTTATTTTTTGTTGCTGTATTTCAGGTGGTGGTGTCTTCCTATGAAGCTGCTACCTCCCTCATTATTGAGTTCGACATGGACAACAACATCTTTGGCCTACCCAGAGAGTTTGTGGTGGCCAGTGCAGGTAAGCAATAAACTTTAACCTGTGTTAACTTTAAGCATTATGTGAAAAAACAATATCATTTTTGTATTTTGGCTTCTTTAATGTGCTAAATTGTATTCCAACCTGCAGTTTAATGTTTTGATTTAAATTATTCCTAAAAAAACGTTTTACTAGTTACCATGCCTTGTAGCTCTTGTGAAGCAACTCTTGCTAGTGATAAGTCTCAAAACTTCATTTTGTATTTGACTTTTGTTGTCTTTGACACAAACGACATGCAATCAATAACATATTTTCTTTCTGAAATTGTAGTGGGAAATATATAATAAAACTCCTTTTCTGCTTTTTAGTGGAGTATTTTGCCTTTTAAATTTTTTTAATTTCATTTAGAAACTAAATATGGTAAGCAGACATACTGAGTTGTGTGTTTCTCTTCCTCCTCGCAGCGGCCTCCATGACAGCGTTGGTAGTGACGGCGTGCATCATCTGGTGTGTGTGCGCAGCTAAGTCTAATCGTCAAAAAGATGGCTTCCATCGCTTGCGACAGCACCGAGATGATTACGACGATGAGATCCGGCTCACCTCCATGGGCTCCAAGAAGTCGTTGCTTGCCCACGAGTTTCAGGACGAGAGTGAAAGCGAGGAAGATACACTGTACGCCAACAAAATCTGAGAACGATTACACCAATGTAGCTGTTGGCTCAGTATTTTATTTTGATCTCCCCTTAAATGTAACCAACAAGGAACAGGTTGAAGTCCAGATAGCATCTCTGTCTCCCTTTATGAAGGAGATAAGAGTGATAAAGACATTTTGTTCTATTATACCAACAAGCGCTAAAGACTCACTCAGTTATTAGTGCTACTAAATTATTTCTTTAAGAGCATCCTGCTGGTGTCTGGACGGAAGTGTTCGCTCCCTTTTTACCTGACTGGATCAGGACAAAAGGACAAAAGGAGGGTGAGATTACTGAAGGTTTGGTCCACTGTGACCCCCGTCCGTCCTTTTCACAGGTTTTAAGTTGGACTGCTTTTTCATTTCCGAGCCACATGAGTAATAATTTACCACAACTTGTCCTGCCTACTGTACCTAAGGAATTCCAGCCGAGAAGTCCAAATACATACACCCCAATTTACTTATGTAATAAACTCTGGATGGAAGTGATTCATCCTACACAATCTCCCCAATGTTTTCATGCATAACTTTCAATACTGCTTTAGCTATACAATTAGAAATCATGTTTCCTTTATCAAAGAAAGCATTGCCACATGTAAGTGTCCTAGCCTTTGGAGACTGAATCCAACACTGTGCCTTGGCTTCTGTAAAGTTTAAAGTCTGGTCGGGCTGTAGTATGTGACCGAAAGCAGCAACATAACTTATATTTGATCCATCCTATACTCAGGTGGTATGCAAAGAGATCACTTCTGAATAAAGGATTGCTGAATTCCAGTGTTGCACTGTTTCTGCACAGGTGACTCTAGGCTGCCCTTGCCTGGCTTCAGTAGTGTTGTATTCTTCCAGCGAGTCAATGTTGTTGCCAGAGCCATTACCATGGGCGATCTTCTGAAAAGCTTTAAAGCTTCAAGGAGAGTCTGTTACCAATGAAATGCTTGAAGGAAACCTGCCCAATAAGTGTGGGGTGCTCTCATGTATGCATGGAGGTCACTTGCACTAAATGGAAAGCAAAGATCGTCCCATATCATTGGCTGAGGATAACAACAATGATTCTCTAAATATGTAATCATAAAAAAAAGAATGTATTTGTGTTTCTGTTTTTTGTTGTTTTAACTAAAGGTTTAGGATGTTTTCACACTGTCTGGACATTGTAAGTTGTGTGTGCCCTTTTTTGACACATTCTCACTTTGTTTCATTATAAGGACTATCGATTCTGTTTTCATTTGTGTTTGTGTTTGTTCCTCCACTAAACATTACTTTGGAGTGCAAAGGTCATAGGTTTGTCCATCATTACTGATCACTGTCTATGCATCAACATCAGGGCCAACAATTCTGCATGATCTAAAGGTCTAGTGCAAATAAAATCATGTTTTCCAAACCTGTAGTCATACCAATGTGGTTGAAAGCTGCAAATGAGTTGAGACCTTTTCACACACACGTTTACTCCATACATACCTACCATGTGTAAATATAATATGCACTGTTAGAGATTCCCCATCAGAAAATGGTCAGGTACTCTGAAAAAGAGACTACCAACAGACTGCCTTATTGGTGTTAGAGAACAACGTAGTCTGGTGCAAAATGATAATGCAGTTATATGCCATTTCTCTCACATATTGAAGAGGCGGAGGACATTTCTTTTAGTAGGTTATATGGACTCAACAAGGAAGCAGGTTTGTGTGCCGATATGCAAGTGGACAGTTAATTGAAAAAGAAAAAAAAGTATAACTGTTGGTTATCATGAGCTGAAATGCCCAACATGGCACTTGATCATTAAAATCCGATGGCTGTGAAATTGGTGATGCCATGCATGTTTTCCATGAAATGTTTTCAAAGAAACAGACCCTTTTTCAATTAATTTGCCTTGATTTTCAGTTACTTTGAGAAGAGATTATTTCCTTCTTTACTTTTATCAGATGCACCTGTCATCAGTAACGTTTAAACTGATGTGTGTAGAGACAAATTTGTATTATTTTTCTTTCTTATTCTTAGTCTTTCAATGCGTGTGTCTGAATTGTTGAACGTTGCGCGTGTCAGAGTCATGCAGTGTTGGTGTGAAGATTTTATATAGACTGAAATCAACTGTAAATAATGTTTGAAATTGTGAATGGGGGAAATAAATGAATGAATAAATACATTCATGTTAACCGTGAATCTACACACAGCAACAATAATTATAAAAACCTCTGTGTGATCATGACATGCTAACATAAAAACTAAAAACACAAATAAAACACCTCACGTCTCTCTTGATTTTGTGTGATATTGTGCTATTCTTAACTGGGGAGATTGGGGTACGCTGGGCATAGAAGGTCTAACAGGTCGTAATCTAAGATGTTGATATTCGAGGAATTTTAGGAGGGGAGAATGAAGAGGCCAAATTGGGAAGGTGTGAGGCATAAAAAAAATCGCACAAGTGAACATACAGTTAACCATGGTTATTTAAGCTTATCAATCAATCAATACACTTTTTTTAAATAGCCAAATATTACAAATTACAGAAACCTATGGGTGATGTTCTGAGATTTTGTTCTTTGAACCAACTGGGCAATGGTATATGTGCCAGGTCATGCATACACCAAATGTTAGTATTAATTTTTTTACATAACGTAAATGTAAGAATAAAATCAGAACCAGAATCCTTTATTTACATAGTTACAGCAAAAAGACTGTACTGATAGAGACAAAATAAAAACTGTATTTAGTAAAGTGGACAGTATAGTAAAAAGTAGTTAAAATAATTACACATTTCAAGTATAAAAAGGTAAGTAGCAGCATTATGAAAACACAAGTGAAACAAGTAGAAAGTAATGAAGAAGCTGCAGGATGACAGAAGTAAATACTATATTTCCTAGTATATAAGTACCCATTGCACAGTTTTATGTTATGTTGTTGGGTAGTTCAAAAAATAGGAACATATAACTGAAGATTGTCTGGCAAATTTGACAGTATGCATATACAATATAGTGTGTAGCTGCATTCTGAACATTGTTTCCCATGTCGGGATTTAAAGTAAAAAGAAAAGAAATCTGTGACTGATGAAACTTGTGTGGAAGCCCCAAAAGGCCTCTAGGCGGCGCTGTTTATGTTGGGGCTGGTGGACTGTGGACTGGTACATGTGGAGCCTGTGGAGCCTGTGGAGTGTGTCGCCTGACAGACTCTGCTGAGGATGGTAAAAACTCTCCTCTTTGTTTTGTAAGTGGAACGTCTTCTTCTGACACGTGACGTGCCCAAGCCGGAACTCGGTGACGTCGCAGCACAACAAAGATGGCAGGGATAGGAGGCAGCAGCTACTGGGAAGGTAAGGCAGGAAACCACACTCGATTTAAAAAATCACAGTGTACGACAACATCTAGTATAGCATCCAACAATGTTATCGTTTCATTTGCTATTGTCACTGTCGGCGGAGTTGACTCATATCCGTTTTTAAACACATACGTGTGTTTCCCTACAACGACTAGCACCCAACAAGCTAGCTAACATATCGCAATTTTCATTAAGGTGTTTATCAACTTGACAATGTGAGAGACGGTTGTCAGATATTATAACCATTAGCTGAACATACTGTATTGTAAGAAACCGTTTCCTTTTCTCCCCCTAGTTTTATATAAGTTAGCTTGTTTATCTCACTTTAATGGTACAAGTTCAGAACCAGTGCTGTAATGGCGTTATCGTTGGCTTTAGCTGTTGCAACCAGAGGTGGAAGAAGTACTCTGGTCATGTACTTAAGTAAAAGTATAAGTACCAGAATCTAGGAATACACTGTTGCAAGTAAAAGTCCTCCAATCAAAATGTTATTCAAGCAAAAGTACAAAAGTATTGGCATCAAAATATACTTACTAAGTACCAAAAGTAAAAAGTATTCATTATGCAGATTGGTCCATTTCAGATAATATATATTATATGCTTTGATTATAATTATTGATGCATTAGAGTGTTATCAAAGCTGGCAAAGGTGAAGCTAGTTTGAATTACTTTGTATTCTGCAGAGTATCTTGTGAATTTACTCCAGGTGTAACTAAAGTCTTATTTAAGTATTGATTATAATTCACATCATTAATCCGAATCTGCAAAGTAAGTAAAGGTATTAAATACATGTAATTGAGTAAAAGTACAAGATTTACCTCTGAATTGTAGTGGAGTAGAAGTACTAAGTAGCAACATATTGAAAGACTCAAGCAAAGTACAAGAACCTCACATTTGTAATTCAGTACAGTACTTGAGTACATCTATTTAGTTACT